CCAAGTTGCTATCAGAAATAGGAAAAATGATACCTGCATCGAGCAACTTGATTACTCTTTTTTCACCACCTCTTTCATAATGGGATTTAATCTCCTTTGCTGCTCTACACTGGGGCGGTGTCCGTCCTCTAGAAAGATTTTATGCATGCAAAACGATGGACTAATGCCCTTGATGTCAGCTATAGTCCACCCAATGGCCCTTTTATGCTCGCAGAGGGCTCTGAGCAATTTTTCTTCTTGAGTGCTGGTCAAGCTGGATGAAATAATCACGGGCAGTGTCTCTGAGTTCCCCAAATAAGCATAGCGCAGATGCGCTGGAAGTGGCTTGAGTTCTAGCTTCGGAGCTTCTTCAATAGATGGCCTGGGGAGGGTCAGAGTGACAGGCCTGTCCAATTCTTCAAATTTTCTAATCCCATGTACATAACTGCATGACATATCCAGCACTTGCTCAATTTCTCCCATCCTATCATCTTCACCATTTTTTAAGTCCCCAATCAATACTCGTTCAACAGGATCTGCAGGGCTCATATAAGGTACTAACGACGTGGCATGACCTTCTACCACAGAGATCATGGACAATTCTTCATAGTGGGCTAGTAACTTGAGTGCTCCATAAACGTTGAAGACCTCCACTCGATCACCCACTCTCATCGTCATCATTCTTTCACAAACATCAATAATAGCTCGGCCCGTGGCTAAGAATGGACGCCCCAAAATAAATGGGACTTCCTGATCAGGCTCGTAATCCAGGATGATGAAATCAGCTGGGAATATAAAAGACCCCACTTGGACAAGCACATCTTCAATTACTCCCTCAGGATGAGCAAGGGAGCGGTCAGCTAACTGTAAGATAACTGTGGTTGGGCGTGGTTCACCCAACCCCAACTGTCTGAATATAGATAGCGGCATCAAATTGATGCTTGCTCCAAGGTCACATAGAGCTCGCCCAACAGCATGTTTACCAATCGTGATTTGGATAGTGAAACTACCTGGATCCTTCAATTTCTGAGGTAACTTGCCTTGAATTCTGGAACTGCACTCCTCAGTGAGTGCCACAGTCTCGAACTCGGTCAGCCTCCTTTTATTCGCCACAATGTCCTTGATGTACTTTGCATATTTGGGTACTTCCTGTAAGATGTCAACCAATGGAATATTAATTTGTACCTTCTTCAAGATATCAAGAAACTTTTTATATGCGGCATGATCTCGTAATTTCTGCAGTCTTCGAGGGAATGGAGGTGGTGGCCTTGCAACCAATTGTGGGGATTGCTCAGCCACCGCCTCTCCAGCCGGCTTCTCTGGCTCCTTGGCTTTCTCTGATGTTGATTCTACAGTGGCTGGCATCTCATTAAAAGTCACCTGTTTCCTCTTTTTAGATAGAACTTCCTCTAGTTGTCTCCCATTCCTCAACGACACAGCATTAAGGGTCGCCCTAGGATTGGCTTCAGTGTCACTTGGAAGAGCTCCCGCTGGTCTAGTATTTTGAGCACTAGCAAGCTGTCCCATTTGACGCTCCAAATTTCTCACTGTTGTGGCGAGGGCTTGCTGTTCAACCATCATCTTTTTAAACATGTCTTCAAGGTGGCTTGTAGGATTCGCTTGTTGTTCAACCTGAGGTGGTCTATATTGCTGTTGAGGTGCTTGAGGCCTGTATTGATTCTGAGTGCCTTGGTTTCCACCCCAAGAGAAGTTTGGGTGGTTCCTCCAGTTGGGATTGTAAGTGTTCCCATATTGGCTTGTTTGGCCCCTATTTGAATTACCCACAAAGCAGACAGACTCTGGGTTTGCGGGGCATATGTCGCTCGTGTGCCCTTTTCCATATATTTCACAAAAAGCCTGAACCTGTTGTACCGGTTGTGTTTGCTGCTTGTTGATACTCAAATTCATCTGGTTCACTTGACTGGCCAGTGTAGCAATCTGCGCTAATAATGCTGAGACGACATCTAACTCAAGAACCCCTGCAGACTTTTGCACTATGTGCCTGCCCATCTCTCCTTGCCAATCCGGATTGCTCTTGGAGAATTTGTTCAATAATGCATATATCTCGTCAAAGCTTTTCTCCAACACTTGAACCCCAGCTGCAGCATCTACCACGATCTTTGTTTCAGAATGTAGTCCTTCTATGAAAGTGTGAGCTAACACTTCATTCGTCTGATTGTGATGAGGACAGTCTCTGAGTAGCCCCTTGAACCTTTCCCAAGCTGAGTATAACGATTCACCTGCTTTCTGTTTGACCACTATTTCACTTCTGATCTTTGCAGTTTTGCCTGAAGGAAAGAACCTTGCTAGAAATTTTCTCGCCAGATCATTCCATGTTGTAATGGAGTTAGCTGGTTCTGCCTTTAGCCATCGCTTAGCCTCACCCAATAGAGAGAATGGAAAAAGTGTGAGCCTCACATAATCTGGAGTGACCCCGTTAGTGATATAAGTATCACTAATATCCAAGAAGTTCAGAATGTGCTGCTACGGATCCTCATGTGGAAGACCCATAAATTGCCCGTTTGCATGAAGCAGCTGGATCATGCTCTGTTTCAGCTTAAAGTGCCCAGTGATCCTGGGCTTCACGATACTGGAGGTGACATTAGCAATGCTAGGCATCGCCACCTCCTGAACAGCCATGGGTTGCTCCTCTGCCATGTCCACAGGAAATTGAACAAGTGCCTGAATATTATTCGTGTCCCTTGCTTCCCTCAACCTCCTGTGAAATGTTCTCTCAGGTTCAGGATCAAAGCCTTGAAGTCTGTCCTGGCTTCTGACCCTACGCATTCAATCAAAGTTCCTGAGATCTGAGCAACAATCAAGCAACGTTAGACTAGGCGAAATAAGCAAATAAAGCAAAAACTAGCAAGTAGTTAATATTCAAGTCCCCGGCAATGGCGCCAAAAACTTGTTGCTCCCAAACGCACACGCAAGTATACATGGTCGACAAGTAATATAATGGTAAGTTGAGTGTCGAACCCACAGAGACTTGTGTAAACTACTCACGGAATTACTCAAATTGCTATTCAGTCCAGCTAAAATCAAAGTCCAATGATATGATTATATTATACTACGATTCTAAGTAAAAACTAAATTATCAAGTAACTAATTGATTGTTGTGTATTCAGTAGAGACAAGTATTCCAGGGTTGTGATCGATTCACCATTCGTATTGTGTTCTAATTAACTCTCCCTTTCATATAATTCACTCATGGTTGCTAATTAATCGATAGATGCTCTCATAGCCTTCTCCCGAAGTACTACTCACCTATTCTCAATAGATTAACGCCTATATACCTATAAAATCAATCTATTAAGAACGCATTAAGATCACGGTATTTAATTAAGCACGGTGACTAGGTATATTCCTATCCTAACCACAAATCCGCTCCCCCTAAGGGTTAAGATCAAGCTCTCTTCAATTCTTCTCTAATCTAAACATGGCTTTCCCAAGCATAGCATAGATAGTAAAGAGAACCTAACTGTTGGCCAGACAATTAAGCAATTAAACACAGAATTGAAGAAACAACCATATATTGGTGAATTATAATCAAGGTCAAGCTAATATCAAACAACAATATTCATGGCTAACTTTCAACCCCAGAACAATGGGTGTTTAGCCACTCATGATGTAATCAAACAATTTCATAAGTTTTGATTAATTGAAAGTACTGGAAAAGATGAAGAATTCCGAGTTGTTCTTGCTCCTCAATGTTTCTAGCGTGTATCTTTGCTCCAAAGTGGCGTCCTCTCCTTTTCTTGACCGACTTTCTTTGTTTAATATAGGGTTTAGGGCTTAAAATCCCGTGTTTTGCACTTTGGTCCCTGAAGTTTATGCGTCCTGCCGCGGTTACGCCAGGACCGCGGCCAGAGTGGCCTTCGAAATCTGCAGCAGTGTTCTGTCGCGGTCCTACCGTGGTTACGCTCGGACAGCGGCCAGAGTGGCCTTCAGATCTGGTTTTGTCCCTTCGCTTGGTGCACTTTGTGGATATTATATGATTGGCCTCCTTTTCTCCCTAATTGATCCCAAAAGTACTCCACAGACTTCTTTTATTGGATATAGCCTGCAAAGCATGAAAAGCACTAATCAGAGCATTTTGTTATCACTCTTTACCGTAAAAGCTATACAAAAATGTGGTTCTTTAAGGCCTAATTATAGTCTAATTTACCTATTATCACCTATCATCAACTGTAAGGCTGCTCGACAAACCTTCCCACATCGCGCTTTGGCAGCAGCTTAGGGGCGCCGTGTATTTTGTCAACCCTTTCCTGGTGTTCCTTCATTTGATCACGAAGCATCTTGTTCTCGTATTCCATTTCTTCCACTTTCTTTAGGATGGCTGAGAGTGTACCATCACTTGCATCGGTGGTAGTGCGATTGTTGATTGTTTGTACAGTGCTTGGCTCACCGGTGACAGCAGCGACTTCCAACGTTGGTGAATCTCCGGTATTTCCTAGAGAGGGTTTTTCGAGCATGGTGTTTAGAGCGCTTGTCAACCATTCTTCTAACAGCTTTTTGACTGCTGGTGGTGTTTCCCTCACCGTAGATATCGAAGTTCCTCTTTCGCGCAAGATCGTCAGATCCTCGAGTATAGAGGGTGAGATCTCCCCCTCCGACTACGATTATATTCTCGTTATCTTCTCTACCAGCTTCGTTGAGGGAGTCTAAGAGGGTGTTTGAGACATTCGCTATCGCTTTCAACCTTGCTTCTTTTTCTGCCATCGTTGATTTCTATGGAGTGCGAAGGACAGAGATCGTTTGATATCCCAGGTGAGAACTATGATTTCGACTACAGAAATTCCCACAAACGGCGCTAAATTGTTTGACTCAAAAGATGTTAAAATCCTTTTAAGCAAATCAATCACAGAAGTGAAAGGGTAAATCGTAGTCGGAGATAATAATCCCCAGGATCGTTTTACTAATTGGAATAATAACAACAATGTATGGATAATAGAGAGGGAGAAATAGAGAGAGAAAGATTAGAGAGATAAATATTAGAGAGAGAGTCAGTTCTTTTGTTCCAAGTTTCCCCCTATTACAATGTTTGATCCCCCTTTATATAATAGAGGGATTCGAGCTAAACCCTAGGAGTGATAACGTCAATGTACTTTATAACGGAACTAATAACAGGTCGAGGTTGTCCCCCACCTAACCCCGGGGTCGTTCCCTTGGGTCGAATCGTAGACATTCAACGGTTAGTCACACAGGCGGTGGGACGTGGTTAGTCAAATTCGACCCCATACAATATATAGCACTTTGCAGCTGCTATACGGAAAAAGATTTAATGTCAAACAAATAAATACAAGATATATGTATTGCATATGAATTTTTATCATTTAATCGCATGATTAATGATAAATATTTATACTTTAATTTGTAACTTAAATTATGTGATTTGGAGTAAACATCTATTTTTTCACTGTACCGTATTTCTTGTTCTAGATTTTGCTATTATTGTGTTTGTCTCAAACAAAAAAGAAAAGGAAGAACTAAATAGAGACAGGAATATCCGTATTTTGTTATAAAACAATAAAAGAAGAATATTGCAAAGAAAGAGAGAGAGAATTCTTATTACTTTGGGATGAATTACAATGGAATAGAACCCCTCTATTTATAGGGGAAAAGTGACTTAGCCACCAAGTAAAATCCCTAAAATCTCATTCACCTTAAATACAATTCTATTTATAACACTCCTCCTTGAATGTATATTCAATAGATAATGTGTCTCGTTAAAACCTTAACTAAAATAAAACCCAGTGGGAAAAAATTCTAGAGAATTAAAAAGAATACACATATCTAACAATACGCCCTTTGGTTGCCTCATTAAAAACCTTGCAAGGAAAACCCATTGGGATAAAACTTTGTAAGAGAAAAAGAGTACAACGCGTATTAACTCCCCCTGATGAGAGTATCAATTCACATCCTTGAGCATTCGTATCCCAATCTTGTGCACCATCTTCAAGAGATCGTTAGGAGAAATTTGATAAACAAATCAGCCATATTGACATGAATGAATATTTTGCACCTTGAAATCATCATTCTTGATAGATATATAATGTCTTCATATAATGTCGTGGAATGGCTCTTCAATATCTTCATAGAGGTATTTTCGCTATCACATTATCATGCTTATAGTTACAGCAAGATATATATGTACACAAATTGCACTTAGGATGTGGTACTTCAGGACCAAGAATTGTATATGCTTTAAGCGATTTAAATCCTTCAAGGATTGTCATATAAGTTAAGTCATATAAGCCATATAATAGACTTTAGATGCATATCAAGTTTTCATGTCATGCTAGACAAATAAGATACCGAAAACTGATTACACATATCATTGACTTTATACATTCAAGTATTTGAATTACATGTTCAAAACTACATGTCTTTCATATGAAACCAAATCTATTTGAAATTGTTTCTCCAGATTTAAGATCCTCATATATATATTTAGCGCTATCATAGATGTCGTCGACAAATATTTTATAACGATTCCAACCTATTTTTTTCCATAACAACATAACATAGAGATCTCTTCATTTATATTTTCAGGTACCTGAACCTCTCTTGAGATTTAT